GAAAGCTTTACTTTATCCATAAGACTAAGGCTGGGTTTACTCAGATGATGCAGCTCTTTCCCAGTCCTATTTTGAGAGCCTTCTAACCTAACCGGACTATTCATAAAGTTGTGCAGTAATGTATCAGACAGTGTTTCTCTGCTATTCATAAGGTTTTCCCTGGCCAATTCTTTGAGAAGTGGACGGCCTCTTCTTTCTTCCTAGTCTGTCTCAGTCCGTAAGCCGGGCTGATACCTGTGTACCATGTACAACCCGCTGGGTTAGAAACACCAATGGTTCAGCCTCAAAACTCACATCAAGACATCACCACGGTAGGACAAAGTGACAGACAAGTTTGTTTGTCTCCCTGTTGGAAACCTCTCCTACCACCCTTACCTTGCTTTCATTTTACTTACCTTAAATTTACACGTAAATGCCACGCGTGGCAGGGTGGTGGCCACACAGGTGGTGGCAGACTCAGCTGTGGGATGTGCGTGCTGGAGTTCTAGGCGGACAGTACCCCCGAGAGAGACAGCACCCCTTGGCTTCCGGCCATTGTGCCTTGCCCAGCCCTTCCACCTTGGAAGGCAGCCACAGGTGGGATCTTTAACTCTGCCCACCCAGTACCTGCAGGTTCTTGCTGGCTCAGGCACCACTCAACTTCCCAGAGTGGCAGTTCCCAGCCCCTCAAACAGGCCAGCAGAAGCAGGGAGACAGGATGCAGCCCCAGGGGCCTGACTGCGACCTGAGCACTCACCTTCATTATCACCACTGCCATCGCGAGGGCTGACACGGAGAACAAGATGGCCGGGAGGAGCATGACCACGGCGGAGCCCACGTTGGTTTGGAAGAAGCCAATCGCCACCAACCAGCCACTGTAAGAGGGGACAAGGCAGCATGGGTGCTGACACATCCTCCAGACAAAGGCCACTGTCGTCCAACAAGAAACGAGCCCACGGGAGAGATGGAGTCCCACAGGGACTGCAGAGTGGCCACTCAATGTCAAAATCGTGCTCAAACCCACAACGGAGACATGGGAGCGAGGGCAGGTATCCCTGCTAGAGCGGCACCCAGCAGGGACCGTGCGGGCGAGGGCCACAGTGTTGGGGACTGTGTGCTTTAACACGAGGCTAACGAGGGGCTATCCGTGAAACAGTGGAAGCGGTTGCCCTGGTACAGCAACTCTGCCTCTGAGAACTGCTGTAACTATTTCGAATCGTGAAAACTAAACACGAGCTGGCAGGAATAACACAACATAACCACGCTCAGTCCCCCTAGCAGCCTGGCAGGAGAGCGGCTGCTGACACCCCCCCCAGGAACATGGCGACCTAGAACGCCTTCAGGGGCAGTTCTCCATGCCGTGGGGCACCACAGCACCCAGCAGCTACGACCCACACAACCGAACAACAAAACGGAGGGCAAGGAGGCTGCTGCGGGTCACGGGGCAGGCCCCGCGATGTTGCGACAGTGCCAGTGGCGAGAGGGAGGCCGCCCGCCTTGCCTGCATGCTCCCCTCCGGGCGCCAGGCTGCGAGGGCTCCAGGAAACACGGTGCTTTGGAAATGTTTTTCCAAACAGAAAATAAAACCACATCCCCGGAGACTATGGCCCTTCGACACCCTGCAAGCCCGGAAATTAACTCAGCCCCGAGGCTTAGCTTTCAGCCAAACGATAGTCTATAAGTGGACAGTCCACCAGGGCGGACCACGCTCTTACAGCAGCCAACCAGGTGAGGTCCCGAAGGTACCATGTGCCCCCGCAGGGAGCTCAGGCGGGAAGGGCCAGGACAGAAGGGCCCGTGGAGCTGGTACACCGTGGGGACTGCAGCCAGTGCCACAAAACAAAATGTGCTCGACTGGTTGGACGGAAAACCAATGGACTCTTTCACTCAAATCACAATTAAAAAAAAAAAGGGAAAGAAAAGAAAACAAAGTCCCATGGATCATCCAAACCAAAACCACACTCACTACCCTGGAGTCTATTCTGACCCACAGCGCCCCTAGAGGACAGAGTGGAACTGCCCCACAGGGTTTCCAAGGCTGTCAATTTTCACAGAAGCAAAGCCCAAACCACACCCACTGCCTGGAGTCTATTCTGACTCACAG